CACAGGATAAAAATGAAGGCATTTATTCCACGCTTGTCTCTAATCTCCCTTTTTTATGCTTTTATGATGAATAATTATGTTTTACTATTCAGAGAATAAATATCCTTCTTTTGATTCTCCAGTCAAAAATTTCCTATAAATGCCACCAGTTCAAGAAGGAAAATAGCAATGTCTATTTTGTTTATATATGATATTCAATTGCTTGACATAGGTAGTAGCTTGTGGTAGAAGCACAATTACTAATAAATAACCTCTTCACATATTAATTCATGTAATCACTTAATGACCAAGACTTTGAGATCATAGATTTATCCTAAGTTTGCAGAAATCATGTATTCCTTTTCTGACCTCATACGCTAATTTTATAGTTGAAATCCTATAGCATCATTTCCCTATCTTCACATCACTGATGTCCAAGTTTCCCATGTACAATGTACAGTACAGAATTCTTCCAAAGCTTTTAATGAAGTAAAATGATTCTAAAGCAGCCAGAGACCATATTTAACTAATTAATTTTAATTATTTTATGTGATATATAAACTGAAAAAATATATATGGGATCTAGAGCTGTTCTGTTCACATCATAGTAAGTTAAAGAAATACTAATATTAAGCAAAAAGGATAAAATCCTTAAAAAGATGTTTTCATTAGACTTTACACTATTTTAGTTGCAGAGAATAAGGTGATTCTATACATAGCAAATTACCAAATCAGCTCATTAATTACAGAACCCCATTTATTACAGCAGGCATTGCTATTTGTTAAGTTATTACCTCATAGAGAATGGAGGGAGAAAATAAGACAGCAATAAACATTTCTCAATTGTCAATGTAGGGATATACCCTTTAGACAGAAAACCTCTGAAGTTTCTAAAATAGTTCATTACCTGATTTAAATCAAATGATAGTAAAAATTTTAAATGAGAAACTTGTTGCTAGAAAATTGAATCCAATAAGATGTCTGCAAACTATGATTTTTAAAAGATTTATTTATTTATTTAAAAGTCAGAGTTACACAGAGAGAGAAGGAGAGGCAGAGAGAGAGAGAGAGGTCTCCTATCTGCTGGTTCACTCCCCAGTGAGCAGCAATGGTCAGAGCTCCTCCAATCCAAAGCCATGAGCCAGGAGCCTTCTCTGTGTCTCCCACGTGGGTACAGGGGCCCAAGGCCATAGCAGAGAGCTGGATCGGAAGTGGAGCAGCCGGGACTCGAACCGGTGCCCATAGGGTATGCTGGCACTGCAGGCTTTACCCACTACACCACAGTGCTGGCCCTAAACTATGATTTTGAAAATATTTTTATTTTAAATATAATATTAGTTCAAGTAAATTTATTTTGTCAAAGTTTCTAAAAATAATTGTAGATAAGTTATATTTTACAGGTGGAATAGAAGACAGAAATTGACTGGTGCAACTCCTTCATTTAAGATAGATTAAAACCTGAGCCCAGGATGTGACTTCTCTTTTTTAATGGGGTTCATTTGTGGTTGATTTAGGACAGGATCAGTACTGTAGTCTCTCTGATATAAATCAGACCTGATATTCATGAAGAATGTATGACTTGTTCTCATAAAACTAAGGCAAAGGTATAGAATTCTTTAAAGGGGTAAAAAACTGATACAATTATTTTAACACTTCTGACATGTTTATTTTTGCTTTGTTTTACTGGGAAAAAATTTCCAAAGATTCATTCCATATATTCACATTAATTTGGAAAGGTTGGTTAGTCTTAAGGAAACTCACGAAATTGAGAGCTAAAATCTTTATTGAGAAAGTGATAAAATAACTTGGAAAATAAAAATATGTATATTATGTGTAATATAAAACAATTCTGTTAAAATTCAAAACAAGTGAAAGAAAGTGAGGCTGGTGCTGTGGTGTAACAGGTAAAGCCACTGCCTGCAGTGCCAGCATCCAATATAGGCATCGGTTTGAATCCCGGCTGCTCCACTTCTGATCCAGCTCTCTGCTATGACCTGGGAACATAGTAGAAGATGGCCCAAGCCTTTGAGCCTCTGAACCCGCTTGGGAGATCTGGAAGAAGCTCCTGGCTCCTGGCTTCAGATCGGCACAGCTCTGTCCGTTACGGCCAACTGGGGAGTGAACCAGCTGATGGAAGACCTCTCTTTCTCTCTTTCTCTCTCTCTCTCTCTCTCTCTCTCTCTCTCTGCCTCTCCTTCTCTCTCTGTGTAACTCTTTCAAATAAATAAATGAATCTTTAAAAAAATTAATGATTTCTAAATGCCTATGTGTATTTGTGTGTGTGTGTGTGTGTGTGTGTAGAAAACAGAGAATTATATAAGGGATTGTCACATTTTAGGACAGAATATAGACAAAATACAGAGTTCCTAGAACAGTCTTTTCAGCCAAGACAAAGTTAAAGATCAAATAATGGCCTCAGAACAGTAACATGCAGTCTCAGGAAATACATGAAATAGAGTCTAGCTGTAGGGTCCTTTTGCAAAACCTCAGTTTTCAGAGTATTCCTCACAAATACTCTTTAGTATACACAAGAAGACTTTAAGAATATTAAAAATGCAGTCTGGTATCAGCCTCACACACCAACCAAAGTAGGTAAGAATCTCAGAAAGAAAAGTGGATGTGGCTTTTATCTAAAGGAGTGAACACCCGATAAGAATCAAAAGCAACCAGACAATAATAGGGAGAATGAATGAATATGATTAGAAGCATCAAGAACTTAAATCAAAAGAGACAGGGATGGTTCAGAATGAGAAGAATCCTTAGTATTCTCAATCACCTACAAAGAGCAAGCACATTGAGAAATCTACTCAGTTATAAACATATATATATATATATATATATACACACACACATATATATATAGTAGAAGATAGGATGGCTGACGCGGCTAAACTAAGATCCCAGAAGACCAACTTGTGACTCAGCAATGGGACTGAGCCATAACAAAATATGTAGAAGCAGGCACTCAGTTGAACTTTAGAATTGCTATGGACTAGTCCTTTTGAATAGAATTGTGAGTTAAACTATCCTGTGCCTATCTTATTATTGTACATCAAGAATTTGGAGGGCAGATAACTTTTCTTTACTTCACAAGTCTTCTGACTGAGAGAAATTGTATCTGAGGAGTCTCTTCTGTGCCTGGTCTTAATTTAGATGACCAGATCCTGGATATGCATGCCATTGTCATAAGGGAGTAAGGCTGTGGAGGTCTTGGAAGTGGGGTGAATGTATTTTTCCTTGTGAGAATGTAAATATTATCAAGAGGACCGATTATGGTAGGTTAAACATAACTACAAAGCCTTAGTGCTCTGCTCATTGTCATGATCTTTTTTCCTTTGTTTTAAACCAACTCTGGCCTATGGTTGCTTTGAAAAATGAGGAACTGTAGAAACAGTACTATATACTGGCCTGGACCTCTGTTTTAAAAGTGCTGGTCCTGGAGCCAGAGCTTTAGTGTAGTGGGTAAAGCCGCCACCTGCAGAGCTGGCATCCCATGTGGATGCTGGTTTGAGTCCCGGCTGCTCCACTTCCCATCCAGCTCTCTGCTATGGCCTGGGAAAGCAGTACAGATGACCTGAATCCTTGGTCTCCTGCACCCTCATGGGAGATCCAGAAGAAGCTCCTGGCTCCTGGCTTCAGATTGGCACAGCTCCAGCCACTGTGGCCAATTGGAGAGTGAGCCAACTGAAAGAAGACCTCTCCTCTCTCTGTGTAACTCTGACTTTCAAATAAATAAATAAATCTTAAAAAAAAAAAGTACTGGTCCTTCTATGGTTTCTTCTCAGTCTGAGCCACTGTGTAAGAAATTTGACTATTCTGTTGCTTCTAGGGTAGCTATGTGGAGACGCTGTGGAAAGAGTGAAAGGAAGAGGAGGAAGCAGCAACCAGCCAACAATCAGTTGTTCTCCATCAAGTACTTAGTGACCCCAGAGATAACATGGAGCACAAATAAGCCCTATTGTCCATTCTCTGATTTTCTGACTTTTAGACTTGTGAGATAAAATAATGATGAATTGCTGGCTTTAGCCACTATGATTTGTGTTTTCTTAAAGATTTATTTATTTGAAAAGCAGAGTTACAAAGGGGGGGGAAGAGAGAGAGAAATTGATTTTCCATCCACTGGTTCACTCCCCAGATGGCCATAACAGCTAGGGCAGTGCCACAAGGCCAGACCAAAGCCAGGAGCCAGGAGCTTCATCTGGGTCTCCCATATTGGTGCAGAGGCCCAAGGACTTGGGTCATCCTCTGCTGCTTTCCCAGGCACATTAGCAGGAAGCTGGATTGGAAATGGAGCAGCCAGGACTTGAAAGGGTGCCCATATAGGGTACAGGCACTACAGATGTCAGCTTAACCTGTTACACCACAATGCTGGCCTCCCATTAAGTTTTTGATGTAGGTTGTTATTCAACAAAGGATAACCAGACACTTACATATACATTCATAATGTGAAATCTTATGCCTTGCACAGAGTACAGGATGTTCACTGAAGGTGAGAAATATTCATTAAAACTTTATTTTATACTTCTGATTATTCTCAAATTCTATATACTGGAGAACAATGAATACAATTCATGAGAAAAGATGTCCAATATTTGATAAAATATATTTATTCTAAAATTGTTTTCATATCTTGTAAATTATTTAGATGTAATTAACAACACACATTATTTATATATATGATGTACAGTTTGATATTTTTATATATGCATATATTGGGAAATGATCAGCACAATCAGAATAATCAACATACATATTACCTCACATAGTTATCACTTTGTTTTTTGGTGTAGTGATGCTAAAAACATTTTTAAAGGTCATAACAAATGATTTTACTACATCAGAGAATATACTGGATCAATTAATGAGGAAGCAGTAATTTCTAGTAATTTGGATTATATTAGATTCAGTTACATAATTTGTAACCATAAGTCATAACACCTTTTACTCTTTTTTTCAACCAGCTTATGGTCAAGAGTTTCTCTTTTTTAATATTTTTTCTTTCTTTTCTATTTGAAAGGCAGAGAGACACACAGAGAAAGAGATCATCTGTTTGCTGATTCTCTCCCCAAATACTGGACTGCAAGCTAAGAATCAAGAACTTGATAGAAGTTTCAGACCTGGGTGGCAGAGACACAACTACTTGAGTCATCACCTGCTGCTTCCCAGGGTGTGCATTAGCAGGAAGCTGGAATGAAAAGTGGAGCTGGGACTCAAAGCAAAGTACACCATTACTGGATGCGGGCATCCCAAGTGGTGTATTAACTTTTGTGCAAAACGTCTAATTATAGTTCACAACCCTATAAGTGCTTTCAATCTCTTTGCCTAGCAGTATTTTCAAACAACTCCTGCATGTTCATTATTTGTTAGCTTTATTTTGTCTTAAGACAAATGTTTCTGGCCTGTATGAATGAACATTGCAAAATATTTCAAATCAGGTAACTATATATGGATATATATCTGCTTTCAACCGTAATTAAAGCGTGTTGTGATCAGGGACACTCATTTCAAAAAACAGTTGTTTTGCAGTCGTTTCTATTTCTCAAGTGATCTCAGCTACGGCGATGGAAGGGAAGAGCCTTGTGGAACATTCTAGAATCTAGGCAACCACACAGAAGTAAACTAAGAAAGAGCCAGAATCTGGAACTACTTCTACTTTAGCGTATACTCCAACAGTGGCCTGCCTGGGATACCCTGTCTCTCAGGTCATTACCTTCTTGGTGATCAATTTACAGGCACTCCAGACCCAGTTTTCAAGGACCATGAGTTACAGCCGTCCTCCTCCCAACGTGGAGGGAATGACATCACTCAAGGTGTACAATCTGACCTACCGCACTTCGGTCAACACTCTGCGGCGTGTTTTCGAGAAATATGGGCATCTTGGCGATGTGTACATTCCGCGGGACCACTTCACTAAAGAGTCCCGTGGATTTGCATTTGTACGCTTCTACCACAAGCACCACGCTGAGGATGCCATGGACGCTCTAGATGGGATCATGCTGGATGGCCGTGAATTGCGGGTCCACATGGCGCGCTATGGTCGCCTCTCAGATTCCTACCGCGACTACCGTTGGGGAACAAAACCCTACAGGTGGGATGGAGACGACTACGAACGTCAAAACCGCAGCCCAAGGCGACGACACACCCGACCCAGCCGTTCCAGGAGCCAAAGTCGGAGCCGGAGCCGGAGCCGGAGCCGGAGCCGGAGCCGGAACCGGAGCCGGAGCTGGAGCCGGAGCCGGAGCCGAAGCCGGAGCCGGAACCGAAGCCGAAGCCGAAGCCGGAGCCGAAGCTGGAGCCGGAGCCGAAGCTGGAGCCGGGACCGAAGCTGGAGCCGGAGCCGGAGCCGAAGCCAAGGTCGAGGCCAAAGCGGAGCCCGAGGACGAGGCCGATCTCGAGCCCGATCCCGAGCCCGATCCCGAGCCCGATCCCGAGCCCGATCCCGAGCCCGAGGCCGAGGCCGAGGCCGAAGCCGAGGCCGAGCCCGAGCTCGATGCCGAGCCAGATCTCGCGCTCGATCGCGAGCCCGGTCCCGTGGCCGATCCCGCGGCCGGTCCCGCGGCCGGTCCCGCGGCCGATCTCGAGCCCGTTCCCGTGCCAGATCTCGTGCCCGGTCCCGTGCCAGATCTCGTGCCCGGTCCCGTGTGCAATCTCGATCTTGGAGCAGATCGCATTTCAATCGCTGGAAGTCAAGGTCTCGCCCCCGCTCGCGCGCTCACAGAAGATCTCCATCAACCTCCACATCCAGATCTACACGAAGGTCTACGTCTAAGTCCACCTCGGTGTCCAGATCTCGCTAGCTGACCAGGTCCAGCAGCCTTCCGCCAAGATACCTGAGGGGAAGCAAATCCAGATCGCTGTCCAAGTGCGCCTTCAAGTTCCCTGAAGATGAAGGGGAGGTACCCTTATAAGTTAGCTGTTTATCAACAAGCCTTCGGAGGACTAGAGGCAAGGGGGTTACCAATAGCTAAGTCCTTGGAAAAAATCGCTAGTGATTGAAGGAGGAGGGCGAGTTGTGTTATGTAATTTGTTTTAAGCCTTGCTTCAGGTAGTTAATTGCATTTTATATGGCATTTTGTTGCTGTTGGTTGAATAATAATATTTGAATATCTTATAAGGTGATGTAAAAGATTTTCATTATTGGTTTGGATATTTGAATTTTAGTTAGCGTGCTGGCTTTTGTTTGCAAGTCAACAGGTTAGAACCTTAATTTGTGGCCCCCTGATGTAAGAAAATGTGTGCAGCCATTTCCTGTTAATAGTATAAAACTCTAGTGATTATGATTACCACACTATTGCTTTCATGTTTTAAAATTAAAAACCCACTAAAGTTAGTCTACATTTATTTACATGTGCTGTTTATCTTCTGCTTTAAATGGCAATCTGACCCCACATTAGTATGAAGATACTTCAGATGGAAATAATTCATTTTCTTAAGGGATTTATCAAACACAACTTTAATCTCTATTTTTGTGCATTAAGCAAAGATGAATAAAAGTTCAGTAATGCTGATTAGCTGTTATGGGGTCATTTTGCAGTTTGGCTAGTTAATGTTTTCTCCTGGTTGCTCCTCTAGAGTAAGGGTGATGTGATGTGCAAAAACAAATGAGTGTCCGGCCAGCGCCGCGTCTCACTAGGCTAATCCTCCGCCTAGCAGCGCCGGCACACCGGGTTCTAGTCCCGGTCGGGGCGCCGGATTCTGTCCTGGTTGCCCCTCTTCCAGGCCAGCCCTCTGCTGTGGCCAGGGAGTGCAGTGGAGGATGGCCCAGGTGCTTGGGCCCTGCACCCCATGGGAGACCAGGAGAAGCACCTGGCTCCTGGCTCCTGCCATCGGATCAGCGCGGTGCACCAGCCGCGGCGGCCATTGGAGGGTGAACCAACGGCAAAGGAAGACCTTTCTCTCTGTCTCTCTCTCTCACTGTCCACTCTGCCTGTCAAAAAAAAAAAAAACAAATGAGTGTCCAGTTTATTAAAATGTCTGACAGCCGTACTCAATCTTTCTGGACTTGGCAGTATATAACAGAGTAAAATAAGCACATTAGTGGATAATAAATACATCTTTTTTCCCCCTTTCATTCCCACAGTGGTAAATTTGATCATATTTATTTGTGAAATTAAGTATGAAAAATGTTAGGAAAGCAAATAATTTATTTCTAAGTACTGATAACACTCTGGCTGTTTTGCATATGCATATTCTGTACTATAGCCACTTTTTGAAGTTTAAAACGTTTTTCTTGGTGTTTTAATAAAAAAGTAAAACTTCAATTATATTTTCATTCATAAAACTGTAAAGCAAAAAGACATTGAGGCTGTCCATCTCAAATATTGCCTTACGAACAACAAATTATCAAGACAACAGGGTACCAAACTTCAGAGAATCAATGTGTAAGTATTTTAATTTAGCAACCTGCATTCGAAGTACCACACATCTGCTAGTACCTCAGGGCTTTGTTCCCCAAGATTGACTTGACTTTGGAGTTTGGGCCTGAGTCAATATTCTAGCTTTCTCTCTCTCTCTCTCTCTCTCTCTCTCTCTCTCTATTTCCCTCTCTCTCTCTTTAAGATTTATTTATTTACTTGAGAGGCAGAATTATATATAGAGAGGGAAAGACAGAGAGGTCCTCCATCCACTGGTTCACTCCCTCAGTGGTCACAATGGCCAGAGCTGAGCCGATCTGAAGCCAGGTGCCAAGGGCTTCTTCCTGATCCCCCACATGAATGCAGGGGCCCAAGCACTTGGGCCATCTTCCACTGCTTTCCCAGGTCATCAGCGGGGAGCTGGATCAGAAATGGAGCATCCAGGTCTCCTACAAGTGCCCATATGGGATGCTAACGCTACAGGCAAGTGGCTTTACCAGCTACGCCACAATGCCAGCCTCAACAGTTCACTTCTCAATAAATGTCTGCCAGTAAAAGTCTTGCATACATCCCAGCTTTCTGCTAATGTCTGTGCTGGGAAGCAGCAGGTAATGAAATGGCTCAAGTACTTGGAGTCCCTGCCATCCTCGTGGGACACCCAAAAGTTCTGGGACTCTACCATCTGCCCAGCGTAGCCCCCGTTAATGTTGGTATTTGAGAACTCAATTAGCAGGTGAAATATGCCTGTCTGTCTCTTTCTATATAAATCTCCCTGTCTCTTTGGCTTTCAGATAAAATAAAAATAAATAAATAAAACAAACTTGTAATAAATTTCTGTTGCTTTAAGAAAGCAAGGGAAAAAAAGTAAAATTTAAATGAACAGTACATTTAACATTGTACGGCCTCAGGTTTAGGATGAAGTACAATCTCATTGCAGAGGAAATTTCAAAGTTCAGTGAAATCAATCTACTATTAGCCAGAAACTACAGTGAAGCCAGTGGTTATTAATCTAACGAAGCATCTGTTCAAAGTTTTTAAGTATATACACCACACACACACACACACACACGTACACTCCTCACACTAATTAAGAATTTACCAAATTTAGGCGTCTTAAAAATCCCACCAGGGAGTTAATTGGTTACATAATGTTATCGCACTCTTTATTAAGGTATCAGTGAAAGACATTTGAGCTCCCACCAGGACCATTTTCTTCCTTAATATAAACCAAATGCTCTGTGTCCTTTACTTCAGGATATTTTTCTCTTCATTTGAGAATCAAATGAGTATTACTGGGCCAAGACACCAAAATATATAGTACAGTGTGTGAAACAAATATACAAGTATGGGCATTTTGGAAGAAACTAAACTCATGTCACAGAGAAGTAGGATGTTTATTTGACAGAATTAACCCACTCCATGATCACATTTATCTCAGAATCTAATGGAAAAAGTGTTTTTTTCCCCAATATAATTACAGTCTCAATTTTGGCATCTGATATTTTTTAAATAAATGATTGACAAAAAATTTTCTTTTTTCATGAAAAAATAAAACTAAAAACTAAATTACAGAAATATGTTTCAAGAATGCACAGTAGAAAATGTTTTCCATGACAGATGTATTAAAAACTACTTTCTAACATCTGATTACATTACTGATCATACCCCTCTCCTGTTGAAGCTTAATTAGGGCTCTTAGTTGTAAGTGACAAAATCCTTTCAAGCTTACATTTTTTATATAGAAAGCTTTTATTTAATAAATATAAATTTCATAGGTACAACTTTTGGATTATAGTGGTTCTTCCCCCCATACCCACCCTCCCACCCCCAAACGGTCCCACCTCCTACTCCCTCTCCCATTAATTTCATTAAGATTCATTTTTAATTATCTTTATATATAGACAATCAAGTCCATACTAAGTAAAGATTTCAACAGTTTGCACCCACACAGACACACAAAATATAAGGTACTGTTTGGAGACTAGTTTTACTGTTAATTCTCATAGTACAACTCATTGAGGACAGAGGTTCTACATGGGAAGCAAGTGCAGAGTGACTCCTGTTGTTGATTTAACAATTGACACTCTTATTTATGATGTCAGTAATCACCCGAGGCTCTTGTCATGAGCTGCCAAGGCTATGGAAGCCTCTTGAGTTCGCCAACTCCGATCTTATTTAGACAAGGTCATTGTCAAAGTGGAAGTTCTCTCCTCCCTTCAGAGAAAGATACCTCCTTCTTTGATGACCCCTTCTTTCCACTGGGATCTCACTCACAGAGATCTTTCATGTAGGTCATTTTTTGCCACTGTGTCTTGGCTTTCCGTGCCTGAAATGCTCTCATGGGATTTTCAGCCATATCCAAGCTTAATTTCTTTTTAAAATAGAACATATTGGTTTATAGATCTAGAATATCTAAAACATGCCTATCTAAAATATCTAAAACATGCCTAGTTTTGAGTAGGTCTCAAAATTTTTCTTTATTATCTGTCTCTTTCTCCATATTTGTTTTCTTCTGTCTCTCTGTTGGTTTTCTCATTATCTGGTAAACAAGACAGATGCAAGCATCTTTAGTTTTATATCCTACCAGTTAGCAACCACAGTGGAAAATAATTTCTCATTTTCTCACTGAGTAGTTCTAGCTAACAGCTCAGATTTAACCCTTGATTGGACTACTTTTGGTTATATGCTCATGCTTAAGCCGCTTACCAGTTTCAGCAATTTGAGGTGGCTGATTGGACATGGCTCAGTGATGTGTCCTCTCCTTTATCCATGGCAGTGAATTCATCTGCACCTAAAGCAATTGTACTGAGATTGGAATCCCCTCCTCCATGGAAATTCCAGGTCATATTGTAAGTATGATAAGTGGTTTTGCAAAGTCGGCAAAAATAACAAAATCTGTTTTGAAAAAATAATATGTTTTGTTTGTCTGATTTTTAAATTATTTATTTCTATTTGGAAGGCAGAGAGACAGAGACAGAGAGAAAGAGATTTTCTCTTTGTTGGTTTACTTCCCAGATGGCTGCAACAGTCAGAGTTGGGCCAGGCTGAAGCCAGGAGCCAGGAACTCCATGTAGGTCTCCCATGTGGTTGGTAGTGATCCAAGGACTTAGGTCACATTCTGCTCCTTTCCCAGGAATTAGCAGGGAACTGGATCAGAAATCAGCCAGGATTCCAACCAGTGCATCACAGGCCACTGAACCACAGTGCCAGCCCTGTGCTTGTCTCATTTCTTGCAGGGAAAAATTCACAATCCAATTTGTAGTATATGTTATTCTTTCTTGAAATAACTTAACAACACATCTATCTCTACCAGAAAGTGTAGCCAAAGGTCATTCAAGTCTTCCTTCTGTCTGAAATAGTTTTCTCTCCATCAACACACATCCTACTGCCAGGTCCTACCTGCAGAAAACCATAACTATCTTTAAAGACTCACAATTAATTAATTAATTAATTTTGAAAGGCAGAGAGAGTGCTCTCATCTGCTGATTCAGTCTCCAAATTCCTGTAACAACTAGTGCTGATTCCAGCCAACTCAAGACCACGAAGCTGAAATCTGGAACAGGTGTGGTGCCAGGATTCGAACTCACAGATTCCCCTTGAAGATTCAAATTTAAATGTGATATCTCTGTGGAATGTTTCCCAACCATTATATAATCGATGTCAGGCAGTTGTTTGCACTTACGTGATAACTACATACTAGTATATAAGTATTTTATAGTATACGAGTATTACTGTCTGTTTTAAAAGTGCCTGTAATGTTTTAGCTAGTTCTGTTTCACAGTTATAACGTTCGTGAGAAAAGAAACACAAAATGAAACTGGACGCCTTTGTGGAGAATCCCTAAGAGATATTTTGGGTTAGTAGCAAACTAATTATTAGTTCAAGGTGATGCCATTAGGTGACAGAATTGAAAAGACCCAACACAAGGGATTCAACACTGGCCCTTGGTGAATTATCAAAAACTGTGGGATTTCTTAGTGAGCTTCTGTGATGTGGGGAGAAAAGACAGAGAAGTTCCTGGACATATGAAAATGAGAACTGCTGTATTTAACCAGGATGACTGGCGTGGCATTTTGAAGAAGCCAGGCTATGTGATGGAACCTACTGCTTTCAAACAACTGGAGCATACAAGAACTAGGCAAAAGCCTCCTGAAGTTTGAAAGGAGGTGAAGGACAGTGCTTGGTATACAGTGAGTGCTCAGCAGTATCTGCTAGTTTTAAATGAAATGAAACCTACCCTGAGTGCTTTATATTTGGTAATAATGGGGGAATAATGGGTGCCTAGGCAACTATGACTGGCAAGTGTTATGTCAAGGGCAGGTCTCAGCAGGACCCTCAGGAAACTGAGGGCTGTAATTCACAAGCCCAGAGGAGAGGCCCATGTGTAGGCAGGACCTACTGAATGGGATCCTGCTACCCAAAGTGAAGTGAAACGTGAAGAAAACGGAACTGTAGACTTTGCGTTTCAACACTATGTCAGTTTAGTTAATTTTCCATTTGTTTTTTTAGATGGATAACTCAGATGCTGATGATGAAGATGGATTTGAAGCCCAGGACAGAGATCAGGTAGAGCAATTGGTTCAGAATACAGAATTTTATCGATTTGTAAGACACGTAGGTGAGGAAGATTACAGGCTAGTGAGGGGTAGTAATTTGATAAGCACCATGGATGAACGTACAGAAGCAGAGTTAGGGAGAAGTCTACACGTTGAAGAGGACACAATATTGGAATCACACGAAGATGAAGGTAGGTTTCCCTTGGGGGCAGGAATAGAATGGAATGGATGAGGAAGTGTGTAACAGTAAATGTCAGTCAAAGTGTATATAGAGGCGGCACAAATTGATTTTATACTAAGTTACTGCCCATAAAAGAATACATTCATTTGATCTTTGGTGAGAATATCAAAGTATGTTTTTCCTGGTTCATATTTGGGTTTGAATTAGCAAAAGTGAGAAATAGCTTATAGAGCTTTTTCTTGTTTTTGTACTCTAATGCAAATTTCTCTTCCTTCCTGAATTATTTCTTCTAAACTGATATGTCACTCTATATCAGCCAAAATAATTGTTGTATATTGTAATCAAGTAGTTCTCAACTGAGGTAGTTTTGCTCCTCTCCAAGGGGACATTTGGCAGTATCTGGAGATATTTTGGGTTGTCACAACAGAGTGGATGGGTGTTATTGGCATTCAGTGGGAGAATGCTCAGGACAGCTTCCCAAAACAAAAAGTTATCCAGCTCCAAATGTAAATAGTGCTAATGTGGAAAAGCCTGCTCTAACCTCAATTCTGGTATTTCTCTCCCATCGCAAAGAAGGGAATCGTAAGTATCAAAAAGCGTCTACAACAACATTTTTGTTCTTTTTTTGTATTCTTACTGTTCTTTTTTATACAAAGATTTTATTTAATATAAAGTTCGTAAGTACAACTTTTGGATTATAGCAGTTCTTCCCCCACCATGCACGCTCTTGCACCTCCAAACCATCCCTCCTCCTACTCCCTCTCCCATCCTATTTATTCTTCATTGAGATTCACTTTTCTATTATTATGATATATTTGCTTTTTTGAAGGTCTTTATTTAATGAATACAAATTTTCATATGTACAACTTTTAGGGATATAGTGTTTCTTCCCCCTATTTTCTCCCTCCCACCCACACTCCCATCCCACCTCCCACTCACTCTCCTGCTCCATTTTCCATTAAGATTCCTTTTTTAATTGACTTTATATACAGAAGACCAACTCTTTACTAAGGAGAGATTTCAACTATTTGCACCCACACAGACACACAAAATATAAGGTACAGTTTGAAGATAAGTTTTAATATTAATTCTCATAGTACAACTCATTAAGGACAGAAGTCCAGCATGGGGAGCAAGTGCACTATGACTCCTGTTGTTGATTTAACAACAGACATACTTATTTATGATGTCAGTGATCACTTGAGGCTGTTGATGTGAGCTGCCAAGGCTATGGAAGCCTTTTGAGTTCACAAACTCTGTCGGTTTCTAGCCAGGGCCAGGGCTATTTGCAAATGCTCTCATAGTGTTTCCAATCAGGCCTTAGGGGCTGATTCTGAGGTCAAGTGCTGTTTAGGGTGTTTGTCATTCTGTGTGGAATTCTTCCCATGTTGGAACATTCTCTCCTTTGTAATTTTATCTACTATTATTACCAGGCACTTGGTCTTATTTATGTGATTCCTTTGACTGATGGTCTTATGTATATGATCAATTCCATATTTAATATCACGTTATCACATAAGATGATATTCCTCAAGGCTACCTTCAGAGAAAGGAGGGAGGTTATGGAGGGAAAACCGCTATAATACAAAAGTTGTACTTTTGAAATTTATGTTTACTAAATAAAAGTTTTCTAAAAAAAAAAAAAAAAAGATGGGATTCGTGCCACCCAACAAAATGGGATTTGGAGTCCCATGGCAAGTTTTAGCTTCATCCTTAGGGGTAGGTCTGTGGGAATGTGTGCTGCTCTGTACAGCTCTTCCCTCTCTCATTCCCACCCATTTTTTTTAATTTATTAGACAGATAGAGTTATAGACAGTGAGAGAGAGAAACAGAGAGAAACAGAGAGAAAGGTCTTCCTTCCATTGGTTCACTCCCCAAATGGCCGCTATGGCCGGTGCTACACCTATCTGAAGCCAGGAGCCAGGTGCTTCTTCCTGGTCTCCCATGTGGGTGCAGGGGCCCAAGCACTTGGACCATCCTCCACTGCCTTCCCAGGCCACAGCAGAGAGCTGGACTGGAAGAGGAGCAGCTGGGTCTAGAACCCAGTGCCCATATGGGATGCCAGTGCCACAGGCAGAGGATTAGCCAAATGAGCCATGGCACCGCTCCCGCCACTCATTTATAACTGATATATTTTCAATTGACTTAATGCAACTGTGATTAATTCTATGTTAAGTAAGGAGTTCAGCCAATGGTATTAAGTAGAGAAGAAAAAAAAGAATAAAAAATAGATAAAGTGAAACAATAAAGTGTTCCTCAACAGTCAAGAATAGGACTGTTCAAGTAATTGCTTCTCATAATGTCAGTTTCACTTCTACAGGTTTCCTTTTAGGTGCTCTGTTAGTTGTCACTGATCAGGGAGAACATATGATATTTGTCCCTTTGGGACTGCCTTATTTTACTCAGCATGATGTTTTCCAGATTCCTCCATTTTGTTGCAAATGATCAGATTTCATTTTTTACTGCTGGGTAGTATTCCATAGAGTACATATCCCATAGTTTCTTTATCCAGTCTTCCATTGATGGGCATTTAGGTTGGTTCCATTTCTTAGCTATTGTGAATTGAGCTGCAATAAACATTGAGGTACAGATAGCACTTTTATTAGCCAATTTAATTTCCATTGGGTTTATTCCAAAGAGTGGAATTGCTGGGTTATATGGTAGGGCTATATTGAGGTTTCTGAAGAATCTCCAAACTGTATTCCATAGTGGCTTTACCAGTTTGCATTCCCACCAACAGTGGGTTGGTGTCCCTTTTTCCCCACATCCTTGCCAGCATTTCTTGTTTGTTGATTTCTTTTCTTTTTTTTTTTTAACTTTTATTTAATGAATATAAATTTCCAAAGTACGATTTATGGATTACAATGGTTTCCCCCACATACCGTCCCTCCCACCCACTACCCTCCCCTTTCCCACTCCCTCTCCCCTTCCATTCACATCAAGATTCATTTTCAATTATCTTAATATACAGAAGATCAGCTTAGTATACATTAAGTAAGGATTTCAACAGTTTGCTCCCACACAGAAACATAAAGTGAAAAATAATAGATGATTTTTTTTAAATGATGATGAAATCAGATCAGACCTATTGTCATGTTTAATCCCAGTGAGAGTCAAGTTGGGAATTGATAATTTCTTTTTTTTTTTAAACAGAGGATCAGTTTAGTATACATTAAGTAAAGATTTCAACAGTTTGCACCCCCATAGAAACACAAAGTGAAATATATTGTTTGAGTACTCGTTATAGCATTAAATCTCAATACACAGCACATTAAGGACAGAGATCCTACATGAGGAGTAAGTGCACAGTGACTCCTGTTGTTGACTTTACCAATTGACACTCCTGTCTATGGCATCAGTAGTCTCCCTATGCTCCAGTCATGAGTTTCCAAGGCTATGGAAGCCCTCTGAGTTCTCTGACTCTTATCTTGTTTAGACAAGGTCATAGTCAAAGTGGAGGTTCTCTCCTCCCTTCAGAGAAAGGTACCTCCTTCTTTGAAGACCTGTTCTTTCCACTGGGATCTCACTCGCAGAGATCTTTTCCCAGAGTGTCTTGGCTTTCCATGCCTGAAATACTCTCATGGGCTTTTCAGCCAGATCCGAATGCCTTTAGGGCTGATTCTGAGGCCAGAGTGCTATTTAGGACATCTGCCATTCTATGAGTCGGCTGAGTATCTCACTTCCCATGTTGGATCACTCTCCCCTTTATTTATTCTATCGGTTAGTGTTAGCAGGTACTAGACTTGTTTATGTGCTCCCTTTGACTCTTAGTCCTTTCATTATGATCAATTGTGAACTGAAATTGATCACTTGGAATAGTGAGATGGCATTGGTACATGCCACCCTGATGGGATTGAATTGGAATCCCCTGGTATGTTTTTAACTCTACCATTTGGGGCAAGTCAGCTTGAGCATGTCCCAAATTATACATCTCTTCCCTCTCTTATTCCCACTCTTATGTTTAACAGGGATCACATTTCAGTTAATTTTTAACACTTAAGAATAACTGTGTATTAATTACAGAATTAAACCAGTCATATTAAGTAGAACAGATAAAAAAAAAAACTACTAAGAGGGATAATGTATTAAGTTGTTCATTAACAGTCAGGGCTATGCTGATCAAGTCACCGTTTCCCATAGTGTCCATTTCACTTCAGGAGGTTTCCTTTTTGGTGTTCAGTCAGTTGTCACCGATCAGGGAGAACATATGGTATTTGTCCCTTTGGGACTGGCTTATTTCACTCAGCATGATGTGTTCCAGATTCCTCCATTTTGTTGCAAATGACTGGATTTCGTTGTTTCTTACTGCGGTATAGTATTCTAAAGAGTACATATCCCATAATTTCTTTATCCAGTCTACCGTTGATGGGCATTTAGGTTGGTTCCAGGTCTTAGCTATTGTGAATTGAGCTGCAATAAACATTAGGGTGCAGACCGCTTTTTTGTTTGCCAATTTAAATTCCTTTGGGTAAATTCCAAGGAGTGGGATGGCTGGGTCGAATGGTAGGGTTATATTCAGGTTTCTGAGGAATCTCCAGACTGACTTCCATAGTGGCTTGACCAGTTTGCATTCCCACCAACAGTGGGTTAGTGTCCCTTTTTCCCCACATCCTCGCCAGCATCTGTTGTTGGTAGATTTCTGTATGTGAGCCATTCTAACTGGGGTGAGGTGAAACCTCATTGTGGTTTTGATTTGCATTTCCCTGATTGCTAGTGACCTTGAACATTTTTTCATGTGCCTGTTGGCCATTTGGATTTCCTCTTTTGAAAAATGTCTATTGAGGTCCTTGGCCCATCTCTTAAGTGGGTTGTTGGTTTTGTTTTTGTGGAGTTTCTTGATCTCTTTGTAGATTCTGGTTATTAATCTGTTGCATAGTTTGCAAATATTTTTTCCCATTCTGTTGGTTGTCTCTTCACTCTCCTGACTGTTTCTTTTGCAGTACAGAAACTTCTCAATTTGATGCAATCCCAATAGTTAATTTTGGCTTTGACTGCCTGTGCCTCCCGGGT